TCATCCCCCGGCAGCACCTACGGGGCCGTGCTGGGCCGGGTAGGAAAAGTGAGGTTGGGTTGGGAAAATGGGGTGGCGAGTGCCAATATTGCCCCATGCTGCTCAGCAGGCTGCATTAGCCCAGCGTGCTGGTTCAGGGGAGTTCAGGCCGTGTGGCTGGACCAGCTGCAGAACTGGGTGTTTCGTTTTCCTGGGTGCAGCTATCCCCCGGCAGCACCTACGGGGCCGTGCTGGGCCGGGTAGGAAAAGTGAGGTTGGGTTGGGAAAATGGGGTGGCGAGTGCCAATATTGCCCCATGCTGCTCAGCAGGCTGCATTAGCCCAGCGTGCTGGTTCAGGGGAGTTCAGGCCGTGTGGCTGGACCAGCTGCAGAACTGGGTGTTTCGTTTTCCTGGGTGCAGCTTCCCGTCACCATCTGGAATTTGGAGTGAGCTACCGAGCCCTACCGGGGCTGCACGGGTCTCCCTGAGCCCAGAGCGCAGGCGTTGTCCCTGTTTGTGTGCTGGGTTTGGGAATGGGCGCTCCCACACGATGGGAAGGGGGATAACGGGTGCTCCCACCAACCGCCCTGGGCTTGCATGCAGGATTTGCTGCTGGCTGTCGTTCAGCGCTCGCCTCACCAGCGCCTGCCACAGGCTTCACAGACAGAAAGGGGAGATAGCATCCCTTCCCCCAGGGACGGACAGTCACTGAGGTTTTCTGAAACCACTTAAAGGACTTGGAGGCGATATTCCCATTAACGGGGGTAATCAAATCCTCTCGCTGCCTTCAAAAGGCTGAGTCCAAGCAGGAAGGAAGGGGCAACGCAGAAGAGCCGAGGAACGGGGTGGGGAGGGTGTTTCGGCGCTGGTTGGATCCCTGCTCCGAGCTGCAGGTCTCATTGTCCTGCTGCCAGGAGAGCACCGTGCTTTGCAGGCCTCTTGGGAACACGGGAATTATTTGTGTATGACATATCGTGAATATATAATTGCGTAAAAAAGCTTGATCAGGGTGCATCAGCGTGGGGTGTACGAACCAGGTGGCCCATCTGTCGGGATGAGTTTGTGATGCCCTTCACTTTGTCGAGGTGTGCGGGGACAAGCTGGCCGGGTCCCCAGCCCAGGGTGGCCAGCATTGCCGTGGCAGGAGGAGGCTGGACATCCTTGGGCCGGTGGTTTTGGCTCTGGCTTTGGGCGTAGTTCTGGCTTTGGGTGTGATTCTGCCTTTGCAGCTAATTCAGTAGGATCAGCTGTTTCTATCCCTGAGCTGCTGGATGGGGAAACCTGCCAGGCAGATGCTCCCCTCCCAGCGTGCCCACCGGGAAGAGCCGCTCCTGGTCGAGTGGGGAGAAATACCGCAGGAGATAATAGGTGCCCCAGGGTGATTCTGTTTCCAACACCAAGAGGGCTGTCAGAAATTAACAGTTATCTTTCATATTTTTATTTTTTTTATCCTTTTGGTTTCCTCCCATCAACAGGGATTGGAAACAAAAAGTCTTAGAAAATGCTCAGTCAAAAAGATCGCGTATTCCCTCCAGAGCCGGTTAATCTTCACACCAACAGGATGACTGATTACCGCCGGCTTCTATTAAACAGGCATTAATGATGATTATTGTCTCTCTTTAGCTAAACTGTGAGCCTCTGCACGGCAGCGCGAGGCTTGGTGAAGGTCACTTTGACAGTAACGCGTTCCCCATAAAAATACGTTTGGGGAGTTGTTGAGCGTTGGGTTGATAACGAGCCGCCGTGGGCATTGGGAGCTTCTCCCCATCACGGCGAGAGGTGATGGAGGGAGTGGAAAGCTGCTAGAGCTGTTGCATCGGGGCAGGGAAACCATCAGTACCCTCTGGGCTTGCAGAAAATGTTCTTGCGGTGTTGTGGTTCAAAGGTTCATTTTGAAACTTCTGTTTCTGGCTTAATTAAAACATTATCCATCCCGCCTATAAGGAGCCTTGATGGCTCGTGCGAGTCGCACGTCGTTAGTTGTCATGCGTTGCTTCAAAGCACATGTTGAAGAAATCACTTTTAATAAGGACTTGCTGACAGTGCCATAAGATTTTCAGGGTTTCTGTAAGATCTTTTGGTGGGTTTTGTTGTTTGGTTTTTTTTCAAAGAAGAGAGAAAAAAGAAAATATTTTAAAGAAAAGCAACAACATGAAATCCCACAGCTATTTAAAGGTCCCATAATCTCCTCTGCCTGCCCCTCAGCCTGGAGACAAAGGCGCAGACACCTTGCCATGTGGCCAGATGTTCTGCATCTGGACACTGCGTTGCCAGACAGGTCACATTCCTGCACGGCTGTTTCTTCTGCTTTGTGCTTTCAGCACCAGGTTTATTGGTTGCAGTGACTTGGGTTGGTTTCCAAAGTAATTTTTCTGCAGAGAGCAGCTCAAGGATTTGGTCATTCCCTGAAACCATTCCCAAGGGGCTGATTTTCTGATGGTGTCTTGCCTAGAGAGGACCGTAAGATTCCCCAGTTTGGGCTCTTAGGCTGGTTTAAAAAATCTCTGTATAGCTGCGATCCTCACTGGTCGTCTGCTGCTGCCGGGGAAGGGAAAGCAGTTTGCTCCCGACTCCTTGGCGAGATTTTGGTGTCAGAGGTACAACGGAGCCAGCCCCATGCAGCAGGGACACAGGGGGACTCTGTGCCCATCGTCAGGGGAGATTTCTGGGCTGCTGGAGGCGATTGTGCAGTCAAACGTATTGGTGGTCGTGCTGCCTGCGAATGGTGGGCTGGAGGGAGACTGCTGGGGGGGGTTTTTTCTTGTCTCTCAAAGTGCATCGAGACTGCCTGATGGCACCAGCAATCAAAGTACTTCCCATTCTTCCAGGAGGTAAAATAAGAAAACTGACTGAAAATAAGGTTCCCAGAATATCTCAGTAGACACGAGATAAAAATCAGCGCGAGCCCTTCAGCCTCCTTTGTCAGCTCTCGGCTCCCTCCCGGCTTGCTGGTGGCCACATCCCACGCTGGCTCGCGTGTGGGTGCTCCCAGGGGTGGGCTTGTGCCAAGTGACCCCAACCGAGGATTTTACTGTGCAACCCGAAAGATGAGCCATCTGCTTATTGGCTTTTGTGAGCTTTTTATTAATTAGCGCGTTAGAAAGGGCTTGGAGGGCCTTGCATGCTAAGTGCAGAGGTAGGAAGAGGTTTTCTTCTCATGTTTCCGTCGGGATCTCTCGCTCTTGCATTTACTTCTCCAGCCTGGCTCGGCCGCGGTCAGGGGCACGGAGTGTCTGTTGGTGTGTAACTCTGCCCCCTCCCCAGGTGAGGCCGTGGGGAGGAGCAGTGTGGTCCCTTTGCCGTACGAGAGGTTCCTGAAAGAGCCGGGCTCGTTGGCGGTTGCTGGCTTGCCCGAGGGGATCAGCTTCAAGAAACCCATGGAATACGACGTGAAGTCCCTGATGGCCATCTTAGAGCACAGCCACAGCATCCGCTTCAGGCTAAAAAGGTAATTTTAGGGATCCCCGAAGGGGCGGGAGGGCAGCGAGCCCCCGGGATGGTGGCTCTTATGACACCGGTGGTGGCAGAGATTTTGTGCGGAGCAGACAGGAGGGTCCCTCCCATGTCGTGGCTTCTCCCCCAGACCCAGAAACCTGGGTCCAGCCGTGCCAAACCCAGCCTTGCACATAGGTTCATCGATGTCGGGTGGCTCGAGACCGTTTCAGACTCGTTCCTATAATAAGCGCGTGTAAACGTGCGCATTAACCTCATCGCTTTATGCGTCTCCGCCAAAATTTCCGCTGTGGTAAGCTAAGTGCTTTTCTGTCTCCAGAGGGGCTTCCAGTGTAAATGCTGCAAGCTTCTTCCCAGGCTGAAATGGGGATTTTAACGCCAGACGAGGAGGGAGGCGGGGGACCACGGCGGGGCGAACTCCCCATTTTGGCCACATTTTCGCAAGGGGGTCAGCGGTTTTGGGTGCGTTTCTTCTGCATTTGCCTGGCTGGCGGCACCTCGGATCCATTCAGAGAATTGCTGAGCGCTACCAAATACCTCCTCTGAAGGCTCGGCACTTCTGGAAAATCAGGCTGAGACAGCTAAAAGTAGGGCATGCAGAATTCGAGCCGTCTGTGAGCTCGCGGCCGCCTGTCTCATGTGAAGCATGTGGGTTTCCTGGGTCTGAAGCTCATCCTTGGGCTGACTGAGGTCCCTGTCGGACGTGCCGTGGGTCCTGGGGGCTGGGACAGGCAATGGAGTCAAGTGGTTACGGTCACACGAGATGTTTTATTCCTTAAAAACGCTGGGCTGTGGAGCTAGGTGGCTTTGCCCTAGCTGATACAAATGCTTTGAACTACTGTAAGACCAACCTGCTTCACTTAAAGAAGAAGAAAATGGTGCAGGTGCCTGAAGAAGCTGGAAGAGGTTGGGTAACGGCTATAATTTCTGAAAGGAAGAGCCTGGCAGCCGGCGGTGCAGCATGTCTCACCCTCCCGGGCACAGCTCTCCTTCCCCCTCCAGGTCCGTGCTTGTCCCAGCTTAGCAGGGCCACGGACCCAAAGGAACCTGTGTTTTTTTCCTTCTCTTCTCCCATCCTTCCCCTCAGGCCGGCGGACGAGCCCAGCCGAGAGCCAAACCCCAGCATCGAGTTGACTTGTACCTCCCTCGCCTCCAAGGGTGGCCGTGACTCTGCTGCCAACGGCCTCATGGCCAAACCCGCCGGCCAGGACACCCCCTCTGCCGTCACCGTCACCAACTTCTTATACGGCGTCTCGCTGCCGACCCAGATCGCCGTCGACCTAAAGCAAGAGGTGTCCTCCGGCCTGCCCGGGCCGAACGCGAGTGGCGAGGCACTGCTGCCCAGGCCTGCGGGAGAGCTGAAGGTGCCTTCCTCACAGGAGTACAGCGACTGCTGTGGTAATAGCCTGGAGTTTGCTCTCAGACGAGGGCCTGGTGCGAAGCCCCGTCCCCCAGCGCTGACAGGGGACAGGCCCGGGTGTTTTGGCGGTCCTCGGATGAAAATCGGTGCAAAGCTTGGTCCGTATGGAGATGAGCGGATTTCCCCCCTGCGGGAGAGCTGAAGGTGCCTTCCTCACAGGAGTACAGCGACTGCTGTGGTAATAGCCTGGAGTTTGCTCTCAGACGAGGGCCTGGTGCGAAGCCCCGTCCCCCAGCGCTGACAGGGGACAGGCCCGGGTGTTTTGGCGGTCCTCGGATGAAAATCGGTGCAAAGCTTGGTCCGTATGGAGATGAGCGGATTTCCCCCAGCGGACTTGTGGGGGGACGGTGGGGCTCGGTCTGGCCAGGACCCTGCTGGGTTGCCACAGGCCAGGGTGCACGGAGGAGAGCCGGCAGGATTGGGTCGGCACTGCTGGTGGGGGACAGCACCCGGGGACTTGTTCGGGTGCCCGGAGCATCGGGCAGGCTCTCATCAGCCCTTTCTCCTTGTTTCCCCTCTTGTCCAGGACAGAAATCGTCGGTCTCTGGAGGTCCCCTCATCCAGAACGTGCACTCGTCCAAGCGCATCCTCTTCTCCATCGTCCATGACAAGACAGGTCTGTGTCCTGCTCCGGCGTTGGAGGCGGCCAGCAGCCACCTCTTAGGGAGAGGTTTCCCCTCCGACCCCGTCTCTCCCAGCCATCCCTGTGCTCTGTGGGGACCCGGCAGTGCTGGGGGATTTTTTCCCTTTACTTGCCACAACATCTCAGCGTCACAGCTTCATCCCCACTCGGCCCGTCCCTGCCATCTCCATGACGCTCAGTCCTTGAGCGCTGCTGGCCGGCTGAGAAATCCCATCCCCGCTTGGGGCACAGGGAACCGAGGCATGGCTTTGGGTGAGGCCATTTGCCCGAGCTGCGAACAGCAAATACCCACTGAAAGCTTGGCGTTATTTCTAAATAGCTGAAACCCACTAACCCCGGCGTGATTCTGCAGCGGTTCCCCGGGGGGATCAGCAACGGGGGGGAGACTGCCGTTTCCCTACCTCCACCCCACCCAAGGGAAATGCAACCTAAAAATGCTGACATGTTTACATCAAAACCCTCACCTGCCTGCGTTAAAGTCCCCTGCCTGCGTAAAAAAGAAGAAAAAAAAAAAAGATATGGGTGGGAAAGTTGGGAAAGAGAAGGAGATGAAAAAGCTCCTCTGTGAAATGGCCGTGCCTTTCAAAGGTTTGTTTCAGGTTGAGTTTCCTCTGTCCCAGAGGGTCTTTCATTTCAGGGTTGAGAAGTTTTATGGGGTCATTTCTTAGGAATCTGCTTTGCACATGCATGGCTGCAGAGGAGGTTGCTTGGGGCTGGGGCTGGGGAAGCCCAGACTTTATCTGCCAGCCTGGCACAATCCGCTCAGGAAGAGAGAAATCATTATTTTTAAAGCAGCAAAGTCTTGTTCCTGCTTCCCAGCGCTTTGCGCGAGAAAAGTGCATCTGCTGTGTACAAACCATATGGAAGTTCCTTATTTCTTATATTTTGTTTTGATAGATAAGTGGGACAGTTTTATAAAAGAAACTGAAGATATCAACACCCTTAGGGAGTGCGTGCAAATTCTGTTTAACAGCAGATATGGTGAGTAGGAGTTAATATCCCATTATGCATCTGCAGCGCTTGTGGTTTGCATATCATTATATAGCAATCATTTTTGTTCCCTAACACAGCAGCAGAAGCCATATGCTAGAGCTCCCTTCTCTTCCTAACACGTTTAGCCCAGCAGCTCCCAGTCTCTGGGTGTCTGCTGAAGGTTATGTCAATATTTCCATTTGGAGCCCCCCCCACCGCCGAGGAATTTAGAACTGGGCTGTAAAACAGCCCCGGTTTGAAGCGTGGCATGCCGGGTCAGAGCGCCTGGGCACCGCCGGGCGAGAGGGAACAGTGGCATGTGGCCGTTTTAAATTCACACGGCAGGGGAAAAGAAGGTTGTCGTTACTGCAGCTGCTTTTTTTCCACCTGCACGGCTCAGAGGTGTTGTTCGTGTTGCCCTTGCCACAGGCAGTGCTTTCGGGTTGGTTCCCAGGTGTTTGGGCAGCTGTAAGCTCAGGAAATCCCTTGGGAGTGGGCTGGAGGTTCTTGTCTGTACTGTCCTCATCAGGTCGTGTAATTCATGAGTTATAGATGGGCTATAGATACATGCTGTGTCACTGTGAGTTATATATGGGCTATAGATGAGCTCTGTAACTTGCAATCTATCCATGTGCTATGCAACTCGTGTTATATAGCTCAGGGACCTGCTGCAGCCTCGGCGAGGTTGGGGACAGCACGTGGGCCAGCTCACCCCTGGTTTGAGCAGCGCCGGGCACATTTGGGGGTTTTGGAGGACACTTAGCAGTGTTTGCTGCTGCATCGTCTCCCCGTTGTCCCATCTCCCATGGGCGAGCTGCTCCCGGAGCTCACCTTTGGGACAAGCAAAGCAAAAGAGGGCAGGAGGCACTCACTCTGCTTGAGTTCAAGCCTTTACACCTTCATTTTATCATCTGTAAAAGGAAAAGCACGTATTTAAGTGAAAACCACGTGTTCATCTTTCAGCTGAAGCCTTGGGGTTAGACCACATGGTCCCCGTCCCGTACCGGAAGATTGCCTGCGACCCCGAGGCAGTGGAAATCATCGGCATCCCGGACAAAATACCCTTCAAAAGACCTTGCACTTATGGCGTCCCCAAACTCAAGCGGATACTGGAGGAGAGGCACAACATCCATTTTGTCATCAAAAGGTGGGTGGTGAGGAAGGCAAGGGAGAGTGCCTGGTCTCGAAGGGGCTCAGGGATTTAAGCTGTGTTCCCTCCATACTCACAGGATTTGTTTTGATGCCCAAAACTCATTTTATCCTTTTTTATGGAAAAGAGCTAAATGAGTCTTCCCCCCACCAAAACCCCTTTGTTTTTCATCTCTCTCTCCCTCTTCATGAGGGTGTGGCAGGGCTGGCCGTACCACGGTCACCCTCGAGCCCCATCCACCCTGTTGTAAGTCCATGCAGACATTGCCACTGCCACCCTAAGCATTTCGGGTGGTAACGAGACCCTCTGATCGTGGCAGGCATCTCTCCAATGGCATTTGGCGGATGGGAGCGGCGCTTCTGGGCAGGAGGAGGAACATCCATATTCACAACGCACAGGGATTCCCCTCCACCTTGTTTTGCGGTGATCACTTACGGATGTCCTATATTTATATATACGATGATGAGGATGTATCACCTACGGGCAGGGCGTTGCGTCTTGGTGTCTGCATTTGCTCTGGAGTAGGAGGAGTGGACGCTTTCCCAGTTATCTCTGTGCCGTGCAACCCCTCTTTGCTTCTCTGTCAGGAAAATCTGCTTTATAGTATATTTATTTATTCAGTCCCTGCCTGTGCAGCACTTGTGTTGTTCCCCTGCTAGAGGTGTGAAACTACGGTGCAGAAAAACCCTGGCTAAGGCTCCCAAGGGTGCTAAAATCATGGACGTCAACAGGACTCAGGCATCTTAAAAGGAATTAGCTTTCCAGATGTCAGCCGGTGGAGGAGCCGCTTTGTCCTTCACAGCTCGGGCTGCACCAAGCTGGATTGGGCCCTGGGACGTGCCCCTGAACGCACTTTGCTCCCATGAGCGAAGTTGTAGGTGGCACCAAATATGATATTCAGGATACAAGTGACATCTCGTTGATGGTCTACGTTGTGAAGTGAAAGTCCAGCAACAGCTACTTCGGTCCCACTGTCTCTTTTGGTAAAGCCAGCCTATAGCAGCCTTGTTTAATAAGTTAATTAAATTAAGAGAATGACTTATAAGCAGATTTAAAGGTGCTTTAGTTAAAAAGCATATGCTGTAAGATTGCTTGGTTGCACAACAGGCTAAAAGGCTTTTTTTTTTTTTTTAGCTGAAAAATTCATTCCCTTTTTTTAGAGAATGAATAAAATTATTATTTTGACTTGGTTTAATGCAGTTCATTAATAAAACCTAAAATTCAGTTATTAGAAGGACGTATTTCTAATCCCTTTTTTTTCCTTTCCTCCCAGGATGTTTGACGAGAGGATTTTTACAGGTACGTTCTCCACGTCCTTTGATTTATTGCCCACAAAATTGAAAGATTATCCAGAGAAGCAGAGTTGAAATAATGTCACCTGTAAGCAGCAAAAGTGCAGGACATCTGCAATTATGCTCAGCGCGAAGCCCGGACTGTGCCTGACACCCGGGCACGATGCGATTGCCTTCGCCTCGATCGGTGCAAGTACTGTGCGCCTCTTAAATAGCATTTTGAAGGTTTAAGCAAGAAATCCCTGGTGTGTGAGGCTGGGCTGGCTCCCTGCGCCGGGCTGAGCTGCAGCTCCAGGCAGCACACGGCATGTTTCTGTGCTTTCAGGAGGAAGGAAAATCACTGCTGAGTTCCTCACTGGTAAATTATTCTTTTTTTTTTTTTTTTTTTTTTTTTTGGGGAGCTGCAATACTAGCAAAACCAACTAAAAGCTGAAGTGCTAGCATCATCCAGTCGCTGACTTTTAAAAAAAGAAACAACAAAAATCCATTTTGTCAGTGACAAAACCCTGAGAAGGGGTTTCTTCGGCTTTCTTTGCCATGTGTTTTCACTCCTTTTGGTTTGAGCTGGAGAAGCCAGGCTAAGTGCTTCTTGGCAAATAAAATGATACAGGTACCGGTGCGGTCCGACCCGACCCTCGCTCCAGCAGCTGCACCCATCCCACCGCCCTGATACCCGCCTGAACTATGGCACTGCACCCCAATTTATCACCGCCCAGCCCCGCTCTTGGATTGCCTGGGCTTGGCTTGCAAGTAAAGACGTGTTTTGGGGTTGTTGTTTGTTTTTGTTTTTTTCCCAAGCTGCCAACCCCGCACGCTGGCGGCTTTCCCGACACCACCTTCTCCTGTGACATCTTCACCGGCCAAATTAACCCCTGCGGCCCCACGACAGCTCCAGTCCCAAGGGTGCTCCCTGGGGATGACGACACCAAAGCCACCCAAAAGGGACCTCTAGCAGAGCCCTGGAGAGGCTCCCACCTCCATGGGGGAAGTTTCTCTGTCTCTAGCTCCATTAGTGACTTTTTTTCTAAAGAAAAGGATTTTTTAAGCTCTCACCCACCCCCAAGGGATAGAGCACTGAGCTGTGTCTTGGGATGCTTGGATTTTCTTTGCAAATCCACCGTGGTTGCGCAGTATCGGGGGGAGGCATCGCATAAGTCTGTACATCAGCTCAAGAGCTGCTGATGGAAAGCACCGTGCTACGAGCCCGGGGGTTACATGGCAGGGTGGTGCAAGTGGAAATCAGGAGATGAGGAAGCAAACCCAGCAGGGCCAGGGTGGATGGCAGTTCCCCCTCCTGCCTGGTCCCTGCAGGGCAACCAGAAGCAAAACACATTAAACCTGGCTTTTTGTGATTCGCGTCAGCACATCTGACAGTGCAAAAAAAAAAAAACCAACCATCTGCTGAGTCAGGAGGTGCCATTTTTGCAAAGACACTATTTTCTGAGCAGAGCTGTATTTTAAGTTGCCAACTGCGAAGTATCCCAAAGCTTCCCTGTACAGTTTTGCTCACCCTTTAATTAAAATACCCACCACTGCTAGGAAACCTATTTTTGCTGCTCCCCTGGGTAGCAGCTTCAGGCAGGCTTCGCTGCTGCAAGAACAAGATTTGGTCCATAGAAAGCACAAATTAAAAGGAGCCTTTTGCACTGTCAGTAGATAAATAGTGTCTTTAAGGCTCTCTATTGCTGCTGGTCCCACTGCCAGAGCCCTGCCCTTCCTTGCAGGCTGGAGCCAAAAGGAAAAAGACTTCATGTTCCCACGAACGGGACATGTTTTGGAAGGGTGGGGATGTCACGATGGCACTTTGAGACCAGTGAAGGGCCTTTGGCAGCAGCTATTGAACAAGACATCTACGTTGTCTCTGCAGCCTCGCGACGTAATTTCATTCCTTCCTTCCCCCAGCACTAATCCTTCAGCTCTTCGCTCACCTTCCCTGCCCAATTTTCATTTCCTACCCTGCCTTCAGATCACTCTTTTCATCTCCAAGGTCATTGCTGAGGCTTCATTTCAGCTCCTTTCGGATTGCTGAGGAACAGGGAAGGGAGAGAGGAGGTTTTTCATGGTGACAGGATGCTTTTGTTCCCCTCCGTGTCACTGCAGCAGAGATTTCTCCCACTGCACGCGGGGCTTGGAGCTGCGGGACGGGGCTGCCTGTGACACCGCTGCTCTAGGCTTTGCTGAGCTCCTGTCCCCTCCCTCGGACAGGGCTCTGACCGCTTCGGGGCTTGCTCCTGCGGCACTGGTCCATGGCCCTGGCCGTGCCTGGGATTCCCGACCCCAGTGCCCACCTCTTGGCACCCTGTCCCAGCAGCCAGCCCTTTCCAGAGATCCTCCATCCCCAGCAGGGCTTCCCAGCGCACGCTTAGTTACATAGAGGTTTAAGCAAAAGTCTTGCTAGTATTCTAGTGTGTAAACCCAATTAAAGCTGCACCCTTCTCTTTGCAAGCAGGTGACTCTTGAAAACCTGTCCCCTAGCCCGGCCTCAGCTCTGGGACTAGAGAGGGAACAAATGGAGGAGGAAAAGCTGCGTTATTGGCATCTCTGGTCGCTAATACTGGTTTTGCTTTTCCTTCCAAACCTGCCCTGTGCCCCCGCCACCAGGAAGCAAATTTACCAAAGATCCAACCAAGCTGGAGCCCTCCAGCCCCCCCGGGGAGATCTCCCCCGAGCCGCACCGCGGGGCCGTGCTGGACCTGGCAGGGACCTCGCAGGCCAACAGCAGGTAAGTGGCACTCCTGTTCCCTGGCCGCCGCAAAGTGACATCCCTCCCAGAGCTATTCCAGGGACGTTAACGTGCCCAGCAGGTTATTGCTGTGCTGCTGGAAGGGCGTTGCTTTCCTGCCTCCCTGAAAACCCGTGGCGATGGTACGGCTAGCTGACGCAGGAGGAGGCTGAGCATCCACATCCTTTTGCAAGCCAAAATACTGAAGTTTGCAATCATTGATTTTGTACAAAACTGATGAAATCGGGGCCGTGCCCTGGCAGGCTGGGATTATCTGCAGGAGCGATCTCCGTTGTTAAAGCATGGCCTAAGGATTCACCCTCAGCCGGCACCATAACGCAGCATCCTGCTAATTAAGCGTTACTTGTTTATAAAGCTCATGGGGATACTAATAGCAGATTAACAGATGTTTTAATAAAGGTGGGGTTATAGAGTTAAGCAGGGCAGGAGGCTTTTTATGAGAGTACCCGGTTCTGGTACAACCATGCCACGAGCTAGACTGGTCTGTAACGTGCTGGCAGGGCCCATGGAGCGTATAGCACTGCTTTCCAACCCGCGCTGGGAGATCCAGAAGGTATTTTCCTGTGTGCAGCCCCAGTTTCCTTCCTCACTCAAAATAAAAGAAGCAGGGCAGGAGTATAACTGGTGCTCACGGGCAAGGCTGTGCTGCAGGGAAAGGAGCCTTCTCCCAGCCTTGCCCCGCACAGACGGCTCGGTCACGCATGGGTTTACAAGCAGCAAAAAAAACCCCCCTTTGCTGGGATGTCTGTCCGCACACCCACGCAGGAGGCTGCCGGCTGCAGGCGGGCTCAGGATCAGGGCTGTAGGAGTGAGCGCTCCTCAGCCTCTCCTGCACAAAGTCTCACCGCCCGATGCTGACACCTCCACCAGCCGGGACTGGGGACCGTGCTATGGGGTCGGTAACACCTGCAAGCCAGGATGGGGAGATGGGGTAACTTGTCCCTGTTTGCTCCATGGCATGTGTTGGGTTCTCCTGCCTCCTTGGCTCTTTGTCGACATGAACCTGCAACAGCCTGGACTCTCCTCCTGGTTCTCCCCAGTGCTGTTTCAGTTTTGTCCCCTTGGACGTGGCTGCCGTGTGCCTCTAAAGCCATGCTCGCCCTGTGCGGGGGAACATGCCGCCAAGGCAGCGTTAGAGCAGGCAGCGAGCAAGCCCAGCGGTGCACCAAGCGCTGAAATCTTGCAGCTTAAGAGGGCAGAGACCTCTTGAGCTGCCCAGTCCATCGGGCTGGCATTCCTCACCCAGCCCGCGGGGTATCTCCAGCTTCAAAGGAGGGCTCGGGGCTCGTTGGGGTTGGGATGGCTCTTGCACAACCTTGCTGTCCCACTGCTGTGGGACACCGCCGTGTCCCCTCCCAGGCTTTGTTTTGCTAAATGGAACAAACCAAATTCTTCTCATCTTCTCCTCTGCCAGGGATAGGGTCCCAGGAGCACCCATGGGTGTCACTTGTGCCCCATGCTATGCCACGGTGACATTTCCTGCGCTTTGCAGAGGCCGACCCCACTTCCTTGTACCGTTGGCTGCGAGTGCGATACAAGCCGTGCCACGGTAGAGATGTGACGCAAGGCAGAGTCAACCGTGGGCACGGGGAGGGGGTTACGATGAGCAGGTGGTTGGGCTGGCTTGCCTGGACCAGGTCTCTGGGGGACGTTGATTTGCTCTGTGCATTGATGTTGTACGTGTGTTGAAATGGTCGGCGCTCAGCGTGCAGGTGTCACCCTCAAAGGACAGCAACCCCCTATGCTGTGCTGGTGAAGCAGAGCCGTGGCAGCACGGCCGCTCTCGGCCGGAGGGAGGCGGGCGACAGCGGCTGCCTTTGGGTGTCCGTGCTGGAGCGGCGCTGGCTGAGTCGCTCCAGCTCCTTTCGTCAGCAGTGCGCTCAGTGCGCCGGGTGAGTCAGCCCTGCCCAACCATTTAAAATGGGCTGGAGGAATCGTACCCCACGAGCACCTGTTTCTCCCCACAACAATGAAGGGACTCTGGGTGAGAGCCTTGGCCAGAGACATCTGCGGTGGGAACTCGGCTGGGCTGGGTGCAGGCCTGAGGTGCTTCACTGGTGTTATGGGGAATTAAACTTGAATCTCCAGGATCCCCAGCTAGAGTTTAGCCACAAAACCATTTCTCAGCCAGCTCTCGATTGCTCTCCACACCTTGCTGAATCGCTCCAGGTCTGGAGGCATTTAGACTTGGGGAGCAGCAGAGCATCCGTTGCATGCTGGATGCCAGGGGAAACAGTGATGCTTCAAATATCACTGGCCTCTAAGCGCGCTGCGGGGCTGAAACCTGGCCTGGGGCTTCTCATTTTCCCATTCCATTCATTTGTTAACATTTGCAATTAGGACACTTAATTTTTGCCACAGAAGGTCCCACTGTGCAGTTAAATTGGTGTGGCTGGAAACAAGGAGGTGGAAGGATGGGATATTAGGGATGCCGAGCTGGTTTCTGCAAAGCAATAGGTACAAAACCAGCCCCTGCGTGTCTGTGGGAGTGTGCCGGCAGGGTGGGAGCTGAGGTTTGCTGCTGCAGAGCTCTGAGGGCAGCCGGAGGCTCATGGTCTCCATGCGGCCCTCGCTGATGCTGCACCATCCCTGTCTCACCTGCTGTACCCCAGCTGTGGGCCAAGTGGGGATTGTGTGGTGCAGTACAACTGCTTTAGAGGACCCTATGGGGGGAAAAACAGGGGGTTTAGGGGTGGTTTGTACCCAGCTGGATTTGGATCGCCTTCCCCATGGTGGTGCCGTGACGTGGACCACACTGGGATGGGCTGGCCGCCTTCCACTGGTGTGAATCTGGCACAACCTGAAGATCATCCTGGGGTCCCTTTCAAGTATATCCTGTCTGTGTGTGTGTATATATATATGCCTTGTTCCTAATTTATGCTCCGTGTGTGCATGTTGAATTGGGCCACAGAGCCCCAGGTTCACGTGCACCTCCACTCGTAAAGGGAATGGTGAACTGCAGTGGTGGTGTGCAGGGGTAAACTTAACTCTCCCCAAATCTCCCAATGCATTGATAACACCTATCTACAGGAAAAAAAATACGTGGATATTCAAATCCCACTTTGTTCTTCCTGCAAATGAGGAACCTCTGTTCCTTGGTGGGAGCAGAGCATTTCCATAGCAGTGGTCCACCCGGGCCAGAGTCCAGTTCCAGGGAAAGGGCAGTGCTGGGTGCTCCAGGGAGAAGGGCCAGATACTGTGGAGAGTAACGCACTCCCTAGGGAAACCCCCCTCCCAAATTTCCCTAGGGAAAGGTTGGCTTTGACCTGAAGTGGGAGAGTTGAAAATCCTTCCCACGGCTCCTAGGTCATACAGTACTTTCTAGACCAGAGCTCCCTTTTCCCCGTACCATGTTTAGGTAGAACATTTCAAGAGCACTCCTGGCTTCCTTCGCATTGCCTGTAGTTTGTTCTGCTGGCGCTGCTGAGTGGATTTAGGTGAGTGAGAAGTGCTTTTGAACATCCCCCCTGAGCCAACAGGGATGTGGTGCTGGCTCAGAAGGGTTTTCCTTCCTCCTGAAGGACCAGCATTGTGGAGGAGTGGGTTTTCCAGTGCCATTCCTTAGATCATTTATTGCCAAAGTGCCGTGGTTGTTCTTGTTTAAAAAAGAGAGAGAGAGAGCAAACGCATCGTGAGAATGCAAAGTAATCTCATTTGGATGCTGGACACCTTGTGTAAATTCCTGAGCATGCGAAGTTAACTGTAGATGTGAGTTTGGGATAGCGCCCAGTTTTCAGGGGAGGAAAGCTTTGGGCAGAATAAATATTTACCAAATCAATTGACTTTTTTCCTTTCTCCCTATTTGCTTTAGCTCCATGAGTAACCACATTGTAATGATGTTTTATGCACTGCTCTCTGCTGCAAAAGGATGGAGTCAACCAGATTTTGAGCTTAAAACCCCTCTTGCTTTCAGGAGCTCTCTGCTGCGGTTACATCCGTCGGTGTCTGGAGGCAGGGCTGCGATGGGCGGTGGTGCAGGACCGGGGAGGGTTTGGGAGCAGGGCTTGGTCGCAGAGAAACCTGCGGATCGTGGTTTTCCCCTGCAGCCGCGGATGTTGTGCCGCTGCTGGGACCCATGGGTGCAGTGTTCCCGGGGACCCCTCCACAGCCCTTGCCTGGCATCGCCGGCGGCTGCGGGGTTTCTCCCTCCTGCCAGGATCAGTCCTGGGCGCACTGCTGGTTTTTAAGCTTTCCTTTTGGTTACTTCTTGACCACCTCTCTTGTCTGCCTTTCCCTTCCAGGTCCGAGAAGTGTAGCGTTTCTGAAAGCTGTGAACCAGGTGAGGAGTAATTTGTTTTCTCTTGCAAAATAGTGATATTGTGGGGGGCACTAGAGAAAGCTGCCTGCAAAGTCACTTGGACGTGTGGCACCAATTACCTGGTTGCTCCATGGGGCAGTTCTCAGGATTTTATCCCCGTTTGATAGATGCAGAGATGAAGGGTCTTACTCTGTGACCCTGAGGTTGGGTCCCAAAAGTGCATAAAATGAAATAACAAAACTCAAGCACGTGCTTAAATGCAATGAGAAGTCTTCAGTCTTGGAGTTCCCTTCTCCCTAAAAGCCTCCACGATCAGGTCACCAAGAAATCAGTGGTGTTGGTGCTCTGAGCACCACAAATCAGAAGGAAACACTTTTCCCTAGGTTTAGGTGCTTGGACCCATTGAATCACCACCAGATAGGTGAGGCCATGCCGAGCCTCGCTGTTCTGCCTGCCCAAGCTGCAAGCTGCGACTTGGCACCTTGCAGTGAATCAGTCCCACCCTAAATGAGGAAATTTCTCTGGAGATAACAGGCCGCTGGGCTGAGCACCACCTGCAGCATCCTCCCGGGGCAGCCTCTGCGGGACGGCCAGGCCGGCGCAGGCTCCCAGCCTGGCGGGGATTCAAACCGTGCTGAATTTTGCCAGGGTTCAGCTGGTTGTGCCCTGGTGTGATGCGGCTGTGGTCGGTCCTCCCAGAGCACAGGTCTGCAGAGGGGCTTGTCCCAAACATGAGTTTGGGAGTATTAAAAATGCTACTGGAGATGGATCCTCCTGCGTCCCCACCAACACTTGTTGACAACTTGGTTTAAGCGAAGAAAGCCAGGAAACGAGCACGTGACGAGCGCCGGTGGCCAGTTCAAGGGCACTGGTGGCTCCTGCCAGCCGAGCAGTTAGCAGAGGCCATGCCCGCAGGCAACCCTTGGGTACCTCCGTGCCATGGGCTTGATGCTGCTGGGCCGTTTGGCTGAAGGCTCCTTGCTGTGGGATGCCCAGCTGGCACTGAAGTCACGGCTGGCCGTGGTTTCCCTGCCTGTGACGGTGGGCAGGCATGGCATTGCTGGTTCCCATTGGCGATTTGCCTTTTGTTGCCTTTCCCCGGTAGGTACCTCAGGCGAGCTGGGTGGGATCAGGCAGATCAAAATTGAGCCGGACGAGCTGGACATCATCCAGATCACCGTGCCAGGTAGGCACTGGGGTACCGGCTGCATGCGGTGGCCTCTGCGCAGGCAGGGCTGCTGCCCCGCATCTCGGCGTGTGGCTTTGAGAAGAGGCGTTTGTAGGGTGTCTCCCAAGTGCAGAAGGTCCCCCTGTGCCCACGCACTCATCTTTCTTTACTGAAGGTCTTTTTAAGGGGCTTGTTGGGAATCGGTGGGTTTCCTTGTGGGTAGTGGAATGTGTTTTAGGGCTTGCTTTTGTTTCTCTCTCTCCTTCATCGCTTTTCTATGTTGCCTTTCCCCTGGAAAAAGCAAGCCTGGTTTGCTGCTTTCCTTCACGCATGGGCTTGGAGGATCCCAGGTATCGAGCGCAGGATGCTTTCGATGAGGTCCTTAATTTAGAAAAAACAGCCTGGTTATGAAGAGTTTGGAAGAACAGGTTAAATATTAAGCACCTGCTGAAAACATGTTGGAATTGGTGATGCTGATGTTTCTGCCTGGAGAGGTCGGTGGTGATGGAGACGAGCAGTTGGGTGCTTGAGGGGCAGCCGGGAGAGTCATTTTCCACTTACCTGACCTGGACAGTGCAGCAAATGGTAGGATGATCCTCAGGGTTTAATGAGTGGATAGTTAGCACTTTGCATTTTCAGTGTGCTTTACAAACATTAATTAATAATCTCACCAGAATGAGGGCAGCAACAAGATTCTCGATGTGCCTGAGGGTGAGCGATGCTGGGGACAGCAGTGACGCCTGGCCTCCGCGCGATCTCTGTTGCACCCAAATTGTAGCAGTCCCCTTAATACAGTGATATCTGGGGAGTCACTCCAGGATTGTCGTAGAATGGGCTTAACATATGGTTGATATAGGGGAAGCTGAAGGAATGTGGTGCAGTGGTAGATCAAACATTTTAATTTTCAACTTGGCAGCTAATGGAAGAGAAGAAAGCTAATACGTGGTGAGCTGGCGGTGTGTGTGAGGAGGAGGAGGAGGTGTTATCACTTCTCCGGTGCCGGGTAGATCATACTTCAAGTCCAGAGTCCACCTTTTCTTACCTTATTTGAAGATCAAGTTCAATCAGAGGGAGTAGAGCTAAGGGCAGGGAGCAGGATTAATAGAAAGATGTGCTCACCTACAGGGAGAAATTGATGGAATTGGGATTATTTTTCCTGAGAGGTGCTGATTAAGAAGTGACCTGATTGAAGTATTTAAACTAGCTGAAGGTTTATTTAAAGCTGAACTTGGATAGTTCTTTGAGGGCATCGGAGAGCCCAGCATTAGGGGAGATGGGTTAAAATGAAGAGGGCGTACAGATTACGTAAGGGAAACCCAAGGAGGTGTGATTTTGTGGAGGAAGACAGTATTAGTGGAATGGTTTTCCCATGGTGGAGCAGCTCCATCAAGCAGCATTAACTTCTTGAGTCAAAAGTGAGTGTCTAGACGGAATTAAGCCAAGTAAATCGTTTTGAACTATTTTTGCTCTTCACCTTCCGCAGAGGTTAGGAAGAAACTTCAGCTCTTTTCCCTCAGGCTGAGAGTTCAGATGGGTTTCAGGGACAAGCTCCGGGTGATCCCGGGGAGGAAGAAGGTAGATGCACCCCCGGAGTAGCTCCTGGCGCGGGGCCGTGGTGTGCAGGGTTCCCAGGACCGGGGGGCTCTTTCCTCAGCCCTTGCTGATGGCCCTGGACCCTCTGAACCCTGTTTTGGGGACAGTGCTCCCCAGCATTGAAACAAAAGCTGCCCGTGGGTTTTGTCCGCAGACCGATCGCCCGGTTTGGATGAGATGCACGACCCGGTGTCCACACACATGGCCTCGGAGGAGTCGAACTACATCCTAGAAACAGTAGCAGGTACCAGAAATGAAGCATCCAGGAGACTGCGCGGGGGCACAGGCCTTTGTGTGTGTGTCAGAAATGAGTAAATACCATTTATGAGCCAAGGTGATGGAGTCGGGACCTGCTTCCAGAGTTGTGGCCTCAATCAGGCCAGCTGGGAGCTCTGAGAGACAGACTGGTGGCTTTTCCGGCACTGCCACTCCCTCCCAGTCTCTCCTCCCAGTCTCTCTCCAGTCCCAGCTCGCTGCAAGCCCCAGCTCCTCTGCCCAGCTCACAAGTGGGATTTACCCCGGGGCATTTGTGCCGGCGCCGCAGCCGCCCTCGCTCGTGCTGGGTGCTGGGTCTCGCCTGTCCCAGGAAGCCCACGCCGAAGGGTGGGCAGACCTCTTGGATGTAGGCGATGGGTTTATTCTGCTTATGCAGCTCCTGGCGTGATGCTGCCAGCCCGAGCCCGCGCTGGGGATGCTTAATGAGAGGAGCAGGCGGTTGGGTGGCTGCAGGGGACCCGGAGACCTCCTGCTCGTAGCTTGTCTGGTCTTGCTGACACTGGCCCCCGCTAACCCTCCTCCTCCTCAGCAGGGACAGAGAAGGGGTCCAGCGAGGAGTCGCGACACGAGGAAAAGCAAATGGAGGGATCAGGTGAGTGTGCGATGAATCCTGAGCGTCGCCTCATCGTTGCAAGTTTTTGGAAGGATGGATGAACACGGTTGTATTTTGGGTTGGGTTTCCTGGGCTTCCTACCTTGTCGGCATTCAGCCTCTGAAAAGCTCAGCATGGAAGGACGCTGCCGTGTTCTCAGGCTCTGTCCTCCTCTCTCTTGCCTGGATTTACTTTTTCGCCTGTTTTTTTTCCTCCCTGCTGCTAGCACAGCTCTGTGGCAGGTGCATCACTGCCTTTCCTTGTTCAGAGATGAGCTTGGAGGCAGCTGCCGGAGGACCGGCACCGATCCGGGAGGCATGAAGAGCGCACAGCCAGCGTGGCCAGAGGTCGGGGCTGCTCGCCTGCACTGCGCATTGCTTGCCCTAGAGGCAGCTGATTTCTCAGAGCATTTCTCTCTTTTCTTTTTTTTTTTTTTTTTTTTTCCCTGCAGATGGTATAGGGGACGTTTTAAGTCACTTGAGGAAACAAGTTGAAATTTTGTTCAACACGAGATACGGTAAGATGGTCATTAACACATGTACATCATGCCGAGTGCCAGCCTCTGCCGTGGGGAGCTCCTAATTGCTCAGAAATGTCACCTACCATTTCCAAACCAGCAGCTGAGTAAAGGTGCAATCTAATTTGTTCATTTGCTGTCTTCTGGGCTTACAAGTGCATTTGAAATCTCCTTGGGCCTTGTTATTGCAGCTCTTCCCCTTGGTTTCCTCGATGCCTTTTCACCAGCTGCAGCCCAGGAACTGCCGCCGTGACCTTCAGCCTTCCTCCCGCAGAGGGAAGGACCAAAGTGGTTCCCCCCATCATTTGTTTGAAAGATCAGAGAGGGTTTTCCACCCGAGATGGTCGTTGCGTGGCTCAGGAGGGCTGGTGGGACCCTGGCACCAGGGGCTGGCACTCGGCATGTTCTGCTCACCCCTTTTTTAGAAAGGTTATTTAACCCAGAAGAAATTCGGGTGAGGTCACACGTGCATTGTGAGAGCTGGCAGAAAGCTTTTGCCACTGGCAGGACCAGGAGACGCAGCTCTGCCCGGTGGTCCCCAAAAGCCGGGGCAGAGCTGAGCTGGGAGAGCCCCTGGGGGAAGGGAGAAGGGCTGGGATGCTCCCCTGCCCTGCCACACTGCGCAGCCTGGCAGCGCACCTCAGGCACGTTCCCCTCAGCTGGCAGAGGGGTGTAGGTCTGAACATGGGGTCCCATTGCCTCATGGAAGGCGCTTGCGGCCTTTATAGAAAGTCCTTTTGATAACGCAGCAAATGCAAAAGCCAGGTCCCGGTGGCTGCCTGGTTCTGTCCGTCAGCTTGTGACTGCTAGCACCAGGGACATTCCCACCAGGGACATTTCCACCAGGCACCGAGTGACAACAAACTCTCCAAAAACCTCTCCAGCCCCCCACCAACAAATCGCATCGCTGCCGCTTTGACCCAATGCGGAGGTCCAGCAAACTAATGAGATTTGGTCCCCACGCAGCGAAAGCCATAGGAATATCGGAGCCGGTCAAAGTTCCCTACTCCAAGTTCCTGATGTACCCCGAGGACCTCTTCGTTGTGGGCTTGCCGGAGGGCATCCTGCTGCGGCGCCCCAACTGCTTCGGGATTGCGAAGCTAAAGAAGATCCTGCAAGCGAGCAACAACATCCAGTTTGTCATTAAAAGGTAAGGCAGGTGGAGCGGCCATCCCTTGGGCTCCTGCTGCCGTGGAGGGACGTTCCTGGGGAACATCCATCACTTGGTCACCTTCAATAAATTTGCTTGATTAGAAGCAACCAAGGGTTGTTGCCTTGTTGGAGCCATCCCTGAGAGGCAGCGGTGGTGTTGTCACCTCTCCTTTGATGTCTTTTAGGGATTTTAACCCACTTTTGCAAAGGTTTGGCCACAGCGGCAGGGAGCACCCAAGGGTGGGTGAGAGGAGCCAGAGCCTTTAACCTTCAGGGTGCTCAGGCATGGGGCAAGGAGCGGGGCTGGGAGCCCTGGAGGGTTTGCTGATGGGAAGCGGCTCTGGCTGAGGCCCAGATGCGCACGTAGGGTGCTGCGGGCATCAGGGGAGATGCTGTCCTTGCGCTGGGGAGCCGGGGGTGTCACAGGGGCTGTGAGAAGCCATGACCGATGTAATGCAACAGCGTTGCCCTGAAAGAGGGAACGGATCCAGCAGAGATGGATTTAAACATGTCTTTAGGTGTTTTGGGGGTTTTCTCGCCCAAATGCTGATTCAGCGTCCCTTGCGGAGGAGAGAGCTGACGCAGCCAACACGGTGGGTGGCTGAAACAGAAAATAAATGGTGGGAGCGCGGAGATTTTGCGGTGTCGGACGAGCAGCTCCCAGGCAGCCTGAGCACACTTTGGGGTTTCTCCCCTTCCCATCCCAGACCCGTTTCTCTGTGATGCAGCTTCGGTGCAGCTCCTAATGAGCCCTGCTATCGCCTCACCGTGCAATTAGCATTAGCTACCCAAGTGACAATTTTGGGGGCCAGTTATGTTGAAAGGAGCCACGTACAGCTTCTCCTATCCCCGCGAAACATGCAGGACCATGTCTCCTAGAAGTCCGTACCTGCTGATTTAAGCTGCTCAGCCATCACCAGCTTAATCTCATCCCGGGGAGCATCACATCGGCTCACTAAAGAGTCTGTCGGCATGAAAATTATTTCCAAAGTTCCCTTGCTGCATTGCAGGAGCTTTAAAATTGCATTAGCCAGACACAGTTAGGGAGTCGTGGCTGTAGGAGCGTTGTCCTAGGGGATGCTGGAGCAGCGGGGTGTTGCTGGCCGGGGAGCTCACGCGTGTGCCCTCTGCTTCTCGCTGTTTTCCAGACCGGAGCTGCTGGCGGAGGGCGCAAAGGAGCCTGCATCGGACAGCCGGGCAGCCAAAGGTAGGCTGCGAGACGCCCGGCAGCCGGGCCGTTAAGGACTAGGTAGGAGAGGAGTGAGAGCATTTTCCTACAGCGCGTCTCTTGCCTTCCCTCCCCACCTCGTTTTTTGGCTGGAAACCCCTTCCTGTGCATCCCCCTTGGTGGCACCGCGAATCCTGATTCCTCTTGTGTCCCCTGTCTCAGCTGCCGGTGAAAGGGACTCGAGCGAGGCGCTGCTGGAGGACGCTGTGAAGAGACAGGGCTTTCAAGGTGAGGGCCTGGAGGCATCTTGCAGGGGGTTGAGGCAGAGTCCCTGGCCCGTTGCGGCGGCTGTGTAGAGCAAACAGAGGTGGGAGAGGAGCGGCCGTGGGGCATCAGGCCGCCGGGGGTTGGCAGAGGAGCAGGGCAAGGCAAGGATGGGAGGGAGGAGAGGAGGAGGTGGGGTGAGAGGATGGGAAGGACAGACAAGCAGAAGACAACACACAGCCGGGGCAGACAATCCCGCAGGTCCAAGGAAGAGGCTTGAAGCGCTCTGAGTGGTGCCCTAATTAACCGGCTTTGCTTATCTCGCCGTCTGACCTTGCGGGATGCGTAATTAAGTCTTCCAAGCCTCAGCGTTTGCCTTTTCTGGGGCTTTTTCCACTTGAACAGTGTTTGTATAAGCACCTCTCCTGTCCGGTGTGCACCAGCACCCGGCACAGCGGCTCCGTTGTGGGAAGGAATGATGGTGAGAAGCTCGTGGGCTCGGGGAGAAGTGCTGCCCCACTCGAGCCTCCCTTTCCTTGGGCCGGGGGGGCTGCGAGGGTTTGCAGAGAAGGACAGAGGCTTTTCAAATGCTTTGCCTTTTCAGAGAGGCTTTGGAGTACGTTTTATTTTAATGCCAGTAATTATCGCAACTGAATCTTCGATTTCATGCGGCTTTTATTCTTAGCAAACAGGCGGGGGGAAAAAAAACCATATTTCTGTTTAGATTATTTTTAAGGACTTTGAATGGCCCACTCCAGAGATTAGCTAATTGCAAGATAAGGACTTTCCTATAATTAGAAAATGGCATTACTTAAAAGTCACAGAGTGCCTTTTAATTTACCAGCAGAAGTCCATAATTGTTTCTTTATTTTACAGAAAATTATGATGCCAGGCTTTCCAGAATAGACATCGCTAACACGCTACGGGAACAAGTCCAGGACCTGTTCAATAAGAAATACGGTGAGAAACCTGGGTGGGAACTGATTTTATTCCCACCTTATCCCCTCCCAAATTTTTTGCTCCCTATCCCTCCCCTCTCTTTGCCAGGTGCTTTCTCTCGCCTCCCCCTTGAGCGGCTGGCACCTGGCGGGGCCGGGGAGGGAGCCGTGGGTCTGGGAATTGGTGCTCTTTGCTGCCAGTGCTTGTTGCGTGGGTGATTCCTGTGCAGCACGGGGCAGCCCGTGATGGAGAGCGTGCCACAGCCCTTCCTGCTCCCTGGCCACGTTTTGGGTTGGTTTGGGTTTTTTTAACTCCTTCTCCGTGAAGAACAACAATGGTAAATTCATTAGCGGAGAACTGTGGAGCAGTGGGTGCGCGGGGGGTGGCGGGAGGTTGGGAAGGGGATAAGGAGGGGCTGTAGTGAGCACTCGCAGGAGTGTCAGGGGATGAGTAGCTGCTGTTCCTCCTGTTCCCAGGGCACCTACCCAGGCTCTGCAGGGCATTCCCTGCCTGCCCCAGGGAATTGCTTTATCAAGCAAGACAGGGAAATGCTGTTATCCCCAATTTCTAGGCAGGAGTAAGACAGGTACTCCCAAGAGCAATTACATGCAAGGGAATGTGTAGCCTCAGTCCTGCAGCCAGACCTCAGAGAGGGAACCTACCTATGGAGTTATCTCCTAGTAATGTCCCAAAGCAAAGAGCAGCGGCTTTGCATCCCTCCTGCTGCACTGCGTGGGTGTCACCGTACAAGACAGTGCCTCTGCTCGGTCCCACCGGCTCTGCTGCACGCACGTGGCTGCCTTGGGACCCCCCTGCTCCCATCACGGAGGTGGCCTGAAAATGTCGGTCCTTGATCTAAGGCTTGAGGTGGTGCCCGGAGCAGCCTGCTCACGCTGCGCCGTGCTTTGGCGGGGCCGGGGATGGAGCCAGAGCCGCGGTAGAAATGGCATCCGTGGCATCCCGCACGCTTGCTGCTTGCTTACTGCTCACTTCTCTCCCAGGTGAGGCCTTGGGGATTAAATACCCCGTGCAAGTGCCATACAAGCGGATCAAGAGCAATCCGGGGTCGGTGATTATAGAGGGGCTGCCCCCCGGGATCCCCTTCAGGAAACCGTGCACCTTCGGCTCACAGAACCTGGAGAGGATATTGGCTGTCGCCGATAAAATCAAGTTCACCGTGACGAGGTACGTGGCGAGGGGTGCCAGCCACCCCTGCCGAGCAGGACGGGGAGAGGAGGGAGCCGACCTAAATGCACCCCCAGCTCTGCCAGCCCCACTGGGGCAGGGCTGTAAATACTGTAAATCCCTCCGGCCCCCGAGACAGCAATTAAATCGGCAGCTAACGGTTCGACAGAAAGGAGGGGACCACAAAATCAAGACTCCTGCTCTTTCCTCCTGTCTACCACCTGGAGAGGCAGTGGGGAAAGCACTGGCAGGAGAAAATCCTGCTCGGAGCGACGAATGCGCAGGCGGAGAAATCCCAGCCCCTTTTCTAGGAGGTTCGAGACGGGAGAAATGTTGCTGGGTTTATTGCTGGTGCCAGTAGTGCTCGGGGTCCCGCAGCGCATGGAGAGGTGCCGGGCACTGGCCGTTCGTGGCCAGGTCCCGTGGGTTTTGTAGCCAAAGGGGATGGACATAAGTGGGAGGGGAAAAGCATTTTATCAGTGTATCACCGTAAGGTGAGACAGGGAAAAAACTGTTTTTAAGAGTGGCTCCATCACCCTCTTGCTGGGCCACACTGCCCATCTTACCAACGGGACGCATCCTGCCCCAAGCAGGACCACAGGGACCCCGACCCCACAGAGCTCCTGCCAGTCCCGCACGAGTCGTGGCACCATGTGTGAGGGACAGACTGATCCCGAACCCTCCCTGGGCTATGCGAGGATGCTTGGTCCAGGCGTGTTGGCTTCCCAGTGGCATTTCATTTTAAATCTCCTTTTTTCCTTATTTTTCACAGGCCTTTTCAAGGACTCATCCCCAAACCCGGTAAGAGACGATGCCTTTTTGCCTAAGCAATGCATTGGCCAAGTGTTTAGTGGTGGTCAGGGAGCCGTAAGCTGTGGATGGCGAGCAATAATGTTATCAGCTGGAGGAAGGGTGCCCCTGACCTCACTTTCCTGGGCTTCCCACTTTGCTTTTGTTGTCGCTTGGTGCATTTGCTGAAGTTCCCCTGACCAAGCCAGCTGGCCTCAGCATCACCCATCGGTACTGCTGCTGTTGCCTTCAAATGACGGCATTTTTCAAGAGCTAATCTAGGGCAGGGATTTGTGTTCTATATTTAAGAAAGCACCCACATTCTTAAGCGTTTTCTTAAAATAAATAAGCGTTGCAATGAGCTGGCGGGTTCAGTGGCGAGGGAGGGTCGTGGGAAGGGGGCGATTAGCCACAGGGTCCGTGTCGGGCTGCAGCAGCAGCATGGCAGTGAGAGCCCTTGCCAGCCCGTGGGCATCCCACGCGCGGATACACCGGGGGAGAGGGGAGGACGGGGTGTCCGGGGTGCGCTCCGTACCCAGCTGCAGAAATCACCGTCCCAGATCCGCATCCTTCCCCGCACGTCGCTGCGGTAGCTCTGTCTCTTGCTTCTAGGCTGCCCAGAAAAGAGAGCTGCCGTTAGAAATGTGGGTAAAAGCCTGTCTCGGTTTTAAATGTCTGTAATTACAACTGTTGGAAGAGCACAGATGGGTGCAAAAAACATTCTCGTCTTTATTGATGGCTTCCCATTTCCTTGGCCAGCCTCCATGGGGATGGCACAATTTAGGGAAGACAAATATGACAGAGAGGAAAACATTTATATGCCCTTATTGGGAACGGCAAAAAGGTGTTAGGCGCCTGAGAGGGCTCTAACAAAAGGCGAGCCGTCTGAGAAATTCAATCCAGGGCACGGTCCACGTGTCGACCCTGTGTATGGCCCAGCCAAGATGATGGGGAGGTCCCCCGAGACCTCCGCAGACCTGGGCCTTAGACTTCCCGTCGCTAGGTCCTAAGCAGCAAGGTGCCAGCTCGCATCGACTGGACCTTAAACGAGCCCTCAGTGAAATGCACGTTTTGCACAGCTCTGGCTTTCCACAGAATTACGTGGCTATAATGCCGGAGTGAGCCAAGGATGTATCTGCTCCTCCAGCCGCATCTTGTCTTCCCATTTCTCCGCCGTAATCGGTATAATTACGTTAAGAGACGCTGATCTGACACAAATCACACCATTAACAAAGGAGCACATCAGAAGGCAAATACTTCAACCTGCCAGCTGGCTTGGAAACACAGCCTGATAGATGGAGATGGAGAGGAAATTGATTTTCTTTTTGATGCACAACTTTTTTTTTTTTTCCTTCTTCTCCCGCTGAAGGCTCCCACCATGGGCTAGCCCATGCTAGCGCACACCCAAAGGTATTTTATTCTGCGTGCGGTGGTACCCGAGCAGGCTCGGGCGGAGGTCACAGCATCCCTGTCGGGCTCGGGGCTTCGTGCCCTCTCCTCCCACAGGGGCTTTAAATAGGAGCAGGCACGGGTTAGGGGGTTTTCTTGACATCTCAATTTGTTATAGACTATTTCGTATATTTGGTAAATCTTTAGAGACAATTCTAAGACTTAAAATTATTTTATAGTAGTCAGATTACCAACGGAATGTCTCCTTGAGAAAAAGGCTTTTTGTGTTTTGCCCCCCGATAGTCCCCGTTGACAGCAATTAACCTCCCGTCTGCTTTTCCAGCCCTTTACACCAAAGCGGCTGGTGGCAACACCATGGTACGTTCACTGCCTTGCCTTTGATCGCTTTTCATCTGCCTTAACAAAATTAATGATTTCCAACTAGCCATAGATCATTAAATATTTAAATTTAAGAGTGTTCTTTTTACCTCAGTCTTGCGTAGTAAAGTCCCGCCATGTAAAATGAAGAGCGGCAGCAGCAGAAGTGCGTGCTTGGCGTTAAAACAAAATCAATGAAAATCACTTTTATTTCACAGAGGAGCGTTAAAATGAAAGCAAGAGTCACTCCCAAGCGGGATGACATTGCAAGGGTGTCTAAAAGCTGGAAAGCCCAGGAGATGACCACATAAATATACGGGAGGTTATGTTTTTTGTGGATCATTTTGGCCAAAAAGTACACATTTTAAGGGAAAAGGGAAATGTAACAATTTCTTTTTTTTTTTTTTTAAATCGCTTTGGCTTGATTTTTACTTGCCTTTAGGTTAAATTACAGGTTTAATTTGATTTAAACAAGTTGTGCACCTCCTGCATTGCAAAGAGCATCCCAGATAACTGCAGGACTGCAGAGGACCAGCCTCCTTTTCTCTCTCTTTTGAGGACACCCATTTTTTTAAGTGCAAAACACACCGATAAAAGGATTTCAATATAATCTGAGCACCAAGCGTGCTTTTTCTCAAGATTATCTGGAATTTCTCTGTCAAGATGGTATCTCCCCACTAATGGGTCGCAGTGGGGGGTGAGGCTGCCGGTGCAGAGGCGGCTGGGGGTATGTTCCTGCAGGGATGCTATTTGCAGGAGGAGGTGGTTTTTTGGTGGAAATGAGGCTGGTTTTTTGGAAAAATAAAGCTGGCGGTGCTGCCCAGCGCCTGGAGGAGGTCAGTGGCTGCAGCCACCTTCTGCAGTGCAGATTTGCAGCTGCTTTCGAAGGTGGGACCATGGCCCGGAGGTCACCGGTGCCTCTGACAGTGTTTCACCCGCGTGGCTCCCCAGGGGCTTCATCCCAGGAGCACAACCCTCCTGGCGTTCAGAGATTTTCCTTTGGATTTCCAGTTGCTTTTCTCCCCGCCGCTGGTCTCTGCTCTGCGAAAAAGACCTTCAAACCCCCTTTTTGAAAGCAGAACAAACTCTCGACATTAAAACAGACGCGGGTGAGAAGCAGTGAAGCTCCAGCACTATAAACACAGCACTTATCCTTTCTTTTCTTCTTTTCCTGAGGCACAGAGATACAAAACAGGCTTAATTTGAGCCTTTGAGGAAAAAAAAAAAAAAAAAAAGCAAGCATAAGTAATCTAGCACACACACACAAAAAAATCTTTCTGTATGTTAATTTTTATGTGCTTTGATTGAAAATGTACACCAGCTCCATCTGTCCTATTCCCCAAACTCCCTACCACCCTGATAGATTATTTCCCATACTCCAATTAATAAAGTAGGGCAGGCAGTGTTCTTTAATTAAAAAAACCACACATCCAGGCATCCTTTTTTATATTTTTTTTTTTTTAATCACAAGAGCACAATCCTCCGCAAGACTTTGATGAGATGTGCCTCGCGTTGGAAACTCCTAGCAAGAAAAAAAAGAAAAGAGGAAAGCACTTGATGGGGCGGTGATGGGAGCAGAGCGCATCTCACTCCATCACCAGGTTGCTTTTTGAGGTCCATGCCCCTCTCCCTTCACCCCCCAGCCCTGACATTTAACCCCCGTGGGAGCAGCCGGGTTATTTTTCCTTCCGATCCACCTTCCCGTTATCCAGGGTGAATTATTTTTTTAGCGTTCAGCTGGTTAGTGGGTTTAGTCTGAAGGCGGAGAATCAAGCAGGTAGGGCGAGTAGCTGTGGAGCTTCAAAGCCTGTTTTTAAGCAGCTCTGTGATTTGAATCACCTTTTTCTTTGCCTATTTTTTGTCTCCTTTTCCCTTTCCCTGTATGTTTGGCATCCTCATGCCGGCAGGAAGGCAGCACCATCGCCCAGCTCATCCCAGCCCTTGTGTTTGCTTTGCCCGTGCCTCCCTCCCGCTCCCCACCAGCCTCATATCCTGCCGTGTCCTTCAGAGACCCCCAAACCCCCTATTTCAGGGTGCTCATCGCACGGCAGGATGGATGCGGCTCCATCCCGTGCTGTGGTCCGGCACTTAGGGATGCGCTCCGTACCTCCCAGCGCAGCAGCCATGAGCCTGGTGGGATGCCTCCCCTGGTTAAGGCTGAGCAGCACATGTGGGTTACCAGGACAAGACATTTTAATTATTTTTCTTAATCAGCTTGATTTCGTAACGGCACCTTGAAATCCTCACCTGGAACGCTGCAAACACCTTTGAGTTGCTGCCCACCAAATGAAACGCTGCACTGCCCTTCTGAAACCTTTGCTGATTCGTATTGGAAGGATGCTGCTGTGTGCTCCTCTTCCTCGCTGCCTGTGCTCCTGCCTGCGCTCCTGCCTGCACTCCTGCCCATGCCCCTGCCTGCATTCCTCCTTGACAGGAGCTATGCCAGGACTTTGTTCCCTCTTGGCTTGGACTCCAGCTTGGCTTTCCCAGTGCCGGTGTGACCCATCCGCGTCTCCTCCCCTTTCCCTTGCGTATTCACCTTCAACGTTTTGCGCGGTGGGTGCTGCCCATGGGGTGTCACCCCGCGATTCAGGGCAGCGTGGCTTTTGTTCCGGCTGGGTCCATGGTGTGGCAGCGAGTGGCTGTGCACGGCAGGGTTTGTTTGCAGGATCTGGCTCAGCACCCCGGCTCAGCACCCCACTCACCACGGTCTGCACCAGAATGTCGGCGCCTGCAGCTGCCCTGTGCGAACCCTGTGTTTTTCTGGATTTTTGGTGCCACTGAACCGAAGGGCTGTCCCCGCGCAGACAGTCGGGCCGGAGGCATCAGCAGAGCTCTTTGTGCTGCAATGGCTGCTGGCCTGAGCCTGCCTGAAATGTTTGATCTATATTTTGAGCTATCTCAGATCGCTTATGTCTCTGCTCAGCAAATTCGGCCGTGCACCCCTCCGGTTTGCCAGTGCCAGCGTGCTGCAGTTTGGCAGCAAGAGCCTCCCCGCTGAGCCCCTTCCTTGCCCTGATGCCACGACCCGCAGCCTCCGTCCTCCCCGCCGGCTCTCCCCGCAGCTTCCGGCTTCTACGCGATGAGCTGCTTCGGTCCTCCTTTTGCCCGTCGTGCAAATCCTGGCTCTAGCCCCGTCCCTGCTGCTTTTCCCCAGGAAATTCATTTCTTTTTTGATATCGCTTGTCACTTCAGAGTCAGTGAGCCTCTCCTTAGGGATCCCTTTTTCTCCTGTTTCCCCCCCGTCCCTGTTGCTGCAGAACTGACACAATTTCCCTGTTTGCTTTTCATCTGCTTTAACCTTACATCTTTTTTCTTCTCCGGCATGGTTGCACAGTACAACCGCTGCTGCTTCGGCGCATGCCGTAAATGCTGCTATTCAGCCGCGCGTCCCTGGGCACGTGCGGACCTCGAGCCACTCAGGAGTGCGGTGTAGCTCGGGGGATGCTCACGGGATCAAGCACATCCCAAAACAGGTCCCTGGTGTGCGGTGGAGAGCCCAGCTCACCGGTAGTTATTTAGCTACTGAAACATCTCTGTGCCAAGGGGCCTCGGGGCCGGAGGAATTTTAAGCTGCTAGGAACAGTGTCATCCTGGGTTTTAGTTTTGTTTGTGACCAAGAAACGAAGCTGCAGCACTCATGGCTCTCTTTTTCTTTCTCTCTTTTTTTTTTTTTTGTCTCCTTTTAACTTGCACTGTAGCCCCTAGACGGATAACATCATTGGAAAAAGCCTACGCTGCCTTGAATGGTACGTAGCTCAGTTGATGCATCGTAGATGGTAGCAGACAAGAAATGCACTTACGTTTTAATATGGGAATGAAAATGTCTTAAACCCCCAAATTTCAGGTATTTTTTTTTCCTCTCTGCTCTGTTTCCCTGTGATACCAAGAACTGAATGATGCAGGATGTGTTTAACAGTATTTTATTGTTGTTATTAATCCTCTCTGCATTTCTAAGCACCATTGCTGCACTCCCTGGGCATCGGTGCCGGTTCTGCTCCAGACAAACCGACCTGCCACGTTATCCTCAGCTCATCCATGTGTCCAAGCAATTAATTCGTTAAAAAAAAAAAAATCCACTTGCCATTCATAAGGAGCTCTTGCACAGATTTGGGTTGGGATTTTTTTTTTTTTTTTGCTTTGCTTTAACCAATACTCTGGACCAGAGC